AGCTCCGGTTTGCGGCGACAGTGGCAAAACCGCTGTGTGTCAGCGTCGCTCTGGCACGACGGGGTGACAAAATGACTCTCAAGCCTTAATGAAGTTGAAATTTTGTCTTCATAGTGCAACTTATGAACCAAAAGCCCTCAAGCTGCCTCAAGCGCTTCTGTAGTAGGATAAAAGCCTTGTTCTGGACCTTTTATGCAGTTTGCAAGAAAAGGTGACTCTTGAGGGGTGTTTTTTAAGCTCTTAGTTGGTCCCTACTTAAGTTTTCTGACAGGCTTTTCCCTGACCATTGATGCCGTCTCCGTTCCTGGCCGGGGCAGCTCTTGAGGGCTCCTCTTCTCTGGGGTACTGGCACCCACAGCTGCCTCCGCGCTGCGGAGCTCGTCCTCCGTCCGCCGCCAGCCCTGCGCTCGCAGGAAGCGGGTAATGAGAGCTAACGAGAGCAGTTTCCGCAGGGGGCCGGGTCCCAGCAGCCATTGGAAATCTGCGTGCGACTTGTGTAAGTTAAAGTTTGTTTGAGATAACGGGTCGAGGGCTCTTGTGTCAGTCTCGGGCATTGCCTGAGTTTGGAGGAGTTACTTTCCTGTTATGCTTTGAAAAAATACAGGTTAGTGTTCTTATACCTGCTTAATTTTAATACCACAGGGAAACAATTAAACTCTTGTAAAACCTGTGCTGGCTTGAAAGTGCCAGATCAAGGCCCCTGGTTTAGGCTTGTCTGAGGTTATTAGTGTGGGTGAAAGCTCAGGGCTGAGGGCTCGGACGGAGGGGCTCTGCCAGCTGCCTCTCGCTGCTCCAGAACATGACTGTTCTGTATGTTAATGTGGTTTATGAATTGCATTAATGAAACTCCTGTGAGCATGTGGGAGTGTGGAATGCTGAAAAATTCCCCGATTCTGCAGAAATGGGCTATTACGAACCTCCAAAACTTAGTTTAAAGCACTAGGTAGATACACTGAGGTATGCGATACGCAGCGTCCTTAGCTGGGAACGCAAGCCTGATGGCAGGTCTCCTACCACAGCTCGTTACAGAACTGATAATTACTGGTTTTGATACAAAAAAGCCAGGAGCAGTGGAGCTTTTTTTTCTTACAGTGTTACTGAGTGGTAGATCTGAAATGATGGATTGAGGCTGAACCTTGTGGTGCAGTTGGAGGTGGCGATATGGTTTGGGTGACAGTCGGCACCTCACTTCCAGGTCTTGGGTCTGTGAAACAGGGAAATGGCAGTCTGGAGATAGCGTTTGGTGGTGTAATCGGGTTATTTTTTCATTGGTCGCAGAGGAGAGTAGGAATCCTTCATATATGACGTGGTTTTCAGGGTGACTTGTGAT